CTGATGATGATGATGATGATGATGATGATGATGATGATGATGATGATGATGATGATGATGATGATGATGATGATGATGATGATGATGATGATGATGATGATGATGATGATGATGAGATAATGAATGAGATGGAGATGATGTATTGAGAAGAAGAAGATGATGATGATGATGATGAAGGAAAAGAAGAAGATGGTGTCACAACCCGAAGCTTTACGGGTTGAAGAAATCTACAGCGATTGCTCAAGGCACCTCCGCTAGATCACACGCAAAGGTGAAGAGAAGAGATATGAAGTTTATTTATTTGATAACACCAACACACTATCCACAATGTTGGTAATAATGAGCGAGATGATGATGATAGTGATGACTATATAGATGAATGGAGTTAACAATGAAGGGTGTGTTGATGTTGATGAAGGAGATAATGGAAGGGATGATGATTGTGAAGACTACTACCGTTACTCCGCGCTTCTTATCAGCGATATGATTCCTCGACCGGTCCAGGTGATAGTCCCAGAGCCTTGCACCAGGTCTCCTGAGAAAGAGTCATAGGCTTGACATGACGAGGTCTTCGATTCTCATCCAACGCTCTCTGTGAAGTTGACGTAGCTGCTCCCTTGACCCTGACGGATCCCGTGTGTTCCCTATAATCTGCTGAGTGAGGTGGTCCCGTGTCTTCCTCAGACGCGTCACAGTGGCCTCCGGTAGAATAATTCTGATAGTACTGTCTTCTTTGATCAGACCCCTTGTTCTCCCATGTCCATGACTTCAGGGGTGATACTTCCAACGTGACCCCTAGCCGTTATTGACAGGCTGCTATATCCTGCCATCTGCTGTCCTGTAGAAATCCGATATAAGCTGTCTTGGCATAAACTTGTTCCGATCAGTTGCTTCAGCACATGGCTCTCCCCCGCGGCTACTCAGCGCGGGGGAGTCCCTATGAACTTGAAGTATGCCATGGCCTGCATCTGTGCACCGAGCCACATCAACTGCTTGACGTAGCCTGAGGTGAGGCTAGCTCCGATCAGCAGCCGGAGGTGAGGCTAGAGCCTGGCTCCGATCAGTAGCCTGAGGTAAGGCCGCTAGTTCCGATCATGACATGGCATCAGTAGCCTGAGGTGAGGCTAGCTCCGATCAGGCTAGCTCCGATCATCAGTAGCCTGAGGTGAGGCTAGCTCCGATCAGTAGCCTCGACAATGGGGCCCGGGGCACTGAAGGTACTAGGGTACCTCGAGAGGATCAACTTGACAACTCTGACAGCTGTCACTCTTTCTTCGTTAGTCTCTTGGTGAGGCGGACTTGTTGATTTACCCTTTCCTTGAAGGACCCTTGTTTGAGTACGCGAGCAATGATTTCTTGATGTGCTGCGCATGACAAGAGGAAGAGGACTGAGGAGGAGGAAGCGAGGACCTGCGAGTTCGTTCACGAGGATCGCAGGAGGAGGACCGACGAGAGGGTCATGGGAGTGAGAGACTGTTGACGAGACGGTGTGGAGGATGAGGCAGCACAGGAAGGGATTGGCGGAGCAGCTCAAGGACCCGGGCGACAAGAGCCCGGGGGAGGGCCGTGGCGCGGTGGAGAAGATGGTATGCAGAGAGAAGCTATCCTCCGCCCATGTGCGCTCTTGTGAAGTGCTCTCCACAGATGACGCTGCATTCGGAGCCCGCCATGAGTTTGCCGAAGAAACAGTTCTACAGGCTAGGAGGAGCGAACCGGACAGCTATGGTGCTTGCAGGGCCAACGAGGGCTCGAGACGGAAGGTCTAACTTGTTGTGTACTGCAGTCTCGCAAGAAGATGTCTCTCAATCATGAACGAGAGGGGGCGATGTCCCAGTCAGACCCGCTCTACAAGCCCAGGTTCGCTGCGAGGCACGAGCATGCCAAGTCAGCCACGTCGACCTCCTGGCCGCAGATCGAGGTTCTCCTGCTTGAGATGTTTAGGATGCAGTATCCTCTCTGACTCAGTCCAAGGTCATGAAGGTGGAGGGGGACGTGGTAGGGATCCCGGGCAACACCAGCCTGCAGCGGTATTCCAGCATGGTGGAGGACGGGAAGAGAAAGCAGATTGTGGGGAGCTCCTTTGATGAACTTTCATCGATGATGGTGGTTGTTGCAGATCATAGCGATCCATGAGAACAAGAGTGCCAGCAAGCCCTCTCTGCAGTCCAGGGGCTCGGTCGACTCGGAGACAGCGCTGATTCGAAGCGGAATGGTGAGGGAGAGGAGAGGACGTGAGATGGAAGGGCAGGAGAGCAAATGGAAGGGCAGGAGAGCAGATGGAAGGGCAGGAGAGAAGAGGAGAGGGGATCAGAGCATGGGTGGTAGAGGAGGAGCAGGGCGGGAAGGGAATCAGATGACGGGATTGTGCAGAATATTGTTTCGAAGCAGCTCGCTGAGATAAGGGAAAGCCTTGCAGAGTCACGGCGAGCACACAACACCTTCAACGATGTATCAAAGTTTTCATATGAGTGAAGTGAAGGTTGAAATGAGGGAAGTCTGAGCTGAGATTCTTGTGGAGAGAGCTGTGAAATGTTGTCAAGTGTGTACTGCGTGATTTGTTCAAAATAATCAATAATTAAGCAGTGAAAGGAGTTAATAATAAATGTCTAAACAGTTCATTCGCAGTAAAGAGTCGTGCTGTAAGCAGACAGGTATGGAATGTGTTTGCAATCATAAGATGGAGCACAAATGCTCATGCTGCCGCCGGAACAGCGACAAGAAAGCTGCATGGCTGTCTGCGGCATAAGCTGCATGGCTGTCTGCGGCATAAGCTGCATGGCTGTCTGCGGCATAAGCTGCATGGCTGTCTGCGGCATAAGCTGCATGGCTGTCTGTTGCATACCTCCCGGTGGAGGCAACAAGACAAGCTCCAGTCTCACTCAAACTCGAGGAAGTCCATGAGCAGAGAGACGGCCGGATGGTCGGAGATGTCCGCCTCGGGATTCCTGAGCTTGTCATCTAGAGCCTCCTGCAGGAGCCTTCGGAGGTACTTCAGGAAGACTGAGAGACGCGCCGGGGCCCGGAACTTGATCCAGTCGTCGACATAGACGTGCCCAGCAGCGTGAAGGATGCGGAGGTCTGTGCCAAAGAGGACGAGAGCGTAGGGAGTCACCATGCTTGAGTCTCGGATGAAAACCTTGGAGGTAGCCTGCTCGCAAAGCAGTGAGAGAGAGATTTGGGGAGAGAGGGGAGGGAGGGAGGGAGGGAGGGAGGGAGGGAGGGAGGGAGGGAGGGAGGGAGGGAGGGAGGGAGGAGGAAAGGAGACGGAGTAGGA